AGACCAGTGCACGACCAAACTGTCTTAGCCACAATCTGCCTGATCGCCTGCCACCCGGCAGTCAATCCGTTTAACTGCCGCCATCTTTCCGTGTCTCGGAAACGCTCGCTGATTGAATCCGGTGGTCGAAACATGCAACCCGATCCGGCGGTTGAAGAACTCAACTCGCACTTTAAACTCACGCGCTTGGCTGGTCTAAATATAACAGTACACATGCAGCTATTTATAGTAACAACACAATAATCCCAGCTTAATTAATTGCTTCATCATATTACAATAATTTTGTTTTTAAGAAAGAATGGAAGTAAATTTGTTTAGACAGATTTCACTTTATAGGCTTTTTGTTTAAAAGACGAACATTTGGATATAAAATAATTTGCGAAGCTAGAAATAATTTAACGGCTCAAAATCAACTTCAACAAAGACTTGAATTCCCCGACAGTCTAGATAAAGTAGAGTAAAGCTGTCGTGTTCTATCTGCTATTAAATAACATGTAGAATTTTATAACAAAAAACTTCAAGTACCCGGCAGTCTAGATGAAGTAGAGTAAAGCTGTTTCTGTACAGCGAACAGCTGACCATTGAGAAGTAAGTCTTTGTATATAAGCGATGTTGTCGTTCTGTTTTTATGCGTCTTTTTTAATTTGACATTTTGCACACCATAATTGGCTTGTAAAGACGGTTTATTTATTGGAACAGGTACAGAGTAATTAGCCTTTAAAGAAGGTTTATTTATTGGAACTTAGGTACCGAGTAATTGGCCTTTAAAGACGGTTTATTTATTGGAACTTAGGTACCGAGTAATTGCCCTTTAAAGACGGTTTATTTATTGGAACTTAGGTACCGAGTAATTGCCCTTTAAAGACGGTTTATTTATTGGAACTTAGGTACCGAGTAATTGGCCTTTAAAGACGGTATATTTATTGGAACTTAGGTACCGAGTAATTGGCCTTTAAAGACGGTTTTATTTATTGGAACTTAGGTACCGAGTAATTGCCCTTTAAAGACGGTTTATTTATTGGAACTTAGGTACCGAGTAATTGGCCTTTAAAGACGGTATATTTATTGGAACTTAGGTACCGAGTAATTGCCCTTTAAAGACGGTTTATTTATTGGAACTTAGGTACCGAGTAATTGGCCTTTAAAGACGGTTTATTTATTGGAACTTAGGTACCGAGTAATTGGCCTTTAAAGACGGTTTATTTATTGGAACTTAGGTACCGAGTAATTGGCCTTTAAAGACTGTTTATTTATTGGAACTTAGGTACCGAGTAATTGGCCTTTAAAGACGGTTTATTTATTGGAACTTCGGTACCGAGTAATTGGCCTTTAAAGACGGTTTATTTATCGGAACTTAGGTACAGAGTAATTGGCCTTTAAAGACGGTTTATTTATTGGAACTTAGGTACCGAGTAATTGGCCTTTAAAGACGGTTTATTTATTGAAACTTAGGTACCGAGTAATTGGCCTTTAAAGACTGTTTATTTATTGGAACTTAGGTACCGAGTAATTGGCCTTTAAAGACGGTTTATTTATTGGAACTTAGGTACCGAGTAATTGGCCTTTAAAGACGGTATATTTATTGGAACTTAGGTACCGAGTAATTGGCCTTTAAAGACGGTTTTATTTATTGGAACTTAGGTACCGAGTAATTGCCCTTTAAAGACGGTTTATTTATTGGAACTTAGGTACCGAGTAATTGGCCTTTAAAGACGGTATATTTATTGGAACTTAGGTACCGAGTAATTGCCCTTTAAAGACGGTTTATTTATTGGAACTTAGGTACCGAGTAATTGGCCTTTAAAGACGGTTTATTTATTGGAACTTAGGTACCGAGTAATTGGCCTTTAAAGACGGTTTATTTATTGGAACTTAGGTACCGAGTAATTGGCCTTTAAAGACTGTTTATTTATTGGAACTTAGGTACCGAGTAATTGGCCTTTAAAGACGGTTTATTTATTGGAACTTCGGTACCGAGTAATTGGCCTTTAAAGACGGTTTATTTATCGGAACTTAGGTACAGAGTAATTGGCCTTTAAAGACGGTTTATTTATTGGAATTTAGGTACCGAGTAATTGGCCTTTAAAAACGGTTTATTTATTGGAACTTATGTACCGAGTAATTGGCCTTTAAAGACGGTTTATTTATTGGAACTTAGGTACCGAGTAATTGGTTTATTTATTGGAACTTATGTACCGAGTAATTGGCCTTTAAAGACGGTTTATTTATTGGAACTTAGGTAGAGAGTAATTGGCCTTTAACTGAAGGAAGTCGGCGCGGGAAGCCATGTGGTGGAATAATTCTAGCCGTGCGGGTGTAAAGTCTTCTGGAAGCTTCTAGTCACGGCCAGGGTCACGTGTTTTCATTCAAGTCCTTTTAAATGAATTTGGTATCGACTAAACTTATTTGGTTACCCAGATCGTTTGATATACCGGCTGAAACATACACATACGGGGTCTTGAGTGCACAGCTTCGGAACAAAATATTTTAAAAGAAAACATACTCCGGGACACATTAGCATCCCCATTTATTTCACAATCAATCTTAATTGCTACATCCATTTAAATTAAGTAAAACTATTAATATCTCTTTACAAACAATTTAACAAATTTATCTGGCATAAAAGATGGACCAGCGAGTTTGTTGAAATGACTCAAATTATTCTACTTGCGCTATTGAAAGTATACACGTTTTTATGTTATTGTTTTATAACCACTTAAGTATAACATTTTTTTACGTCTGTAAATTCTTTAAAAATGGTAGTATTTTAAGAATTTAATTTGTATCTAGTCAGGGTTTATGTTTTATAGGTTTGTTGTGGTTAGAGTATGAAATATCAGCATTCATGTGAATCTTCTAGAGCCCGTCATGCGCACAGAGCTAAGATGGACAGCGGCATAAATATGTTGAGTTCCTGATCACTCACAGTAATAGGGTTCACAGGCTCTCGCCAATGCAATAGACGGCAGACTTTTGACGTGCTGAAGTAGTTATCGTACCTCAATCAGATGAAAATTGGGAGGAGGGCACAGAAATTCATGCACGCAATAGTGTGGGGACATTTTCATACACCCATTTACTATTCATAGCAATATATGCCGTTTCATTATATATATATATATATATATATATATATATATATATATATATATATATATATATATATATATATATATATATATATATATATATATGTATAGTAACCATAAGGTTACTATTATCATAAGGTTACATTATTAACCATTATGTTACTATTATCCAGCATTGATACTGTTCGCGCTGTTTTTAAATTAGTTTTGGAATCACAAGGCAGGCATATTATTAACCCAGGGCTTGACAGAATCTTAAGTCTTCATAGATTTCGAACCCGGATCCTGAATTCAACACATAAGTATCCAGAGTTTCGTGCTAATTGAGATCAATTGGAGTCAGTTTGTACAAAGTATTCCAAGTACGCAGTAACTAACATTACTTACACTGACTAACATAACATTACAGTCAAGCAGTAGCTCACATAAGCTCGTCATAGACTGTGGATTCTTGTATGATTGTAGGGTGCTATAGTAGCAGATCAAGTATTACATCTGATGTAATCGTCAGGACGCTATAGTAGCAGATCATTACATCTGATGTAATCGTCGTGTGATAAGGACAGCGTTTTCTAACCTTCTAGCCTAGCGTCTCTCATTAAAAAGCGGAAACATCTTGGTGCTTTTACACACTCTTTCATTCCATAACTTAGAATCAAAGTCCAAGAATACAAACACCCGCGGTCGAAAAGTTTAAACAGCAAGATCGAGAAATAACATAAGATGGTAGAAATCGCTGTGTTAAATGATAGGATCAGGATTCAGCTGAAAGGTCAGGCTTGTGGGTTAAAGCTAATTCCTGGTCTAAGGTTAAGCCCGGTTTTAGATTAAGGCGAGCGATAGAAAAATGACTTGAATTAAGTACAGATGGCTGGGAAGTTCAAACTTTTAAAATGGCTGATATCTCTAGAACTCCGAACAAGAACACTTAAATATTTATTTCATCGCCCTAGGCGCCGAGAGAGTGAATGCCCCTGACACTAGGGATATAGCTGTTTTAAAAATGTATCGCTTTTTTGAAATCTTTAAAAAAATAATATCGTTGTACTTTGTTTAAATGTCAGAGAAGGTGGGATGACGCCAGATAAAAGTAATCGTTCCATGGCTTTTAGAACAACAATGGCTCATGAACTATGACCTTTTGAAGATATTGTACACCCTGGCATAAGTTTGATGAACACCACTTACAAGAAAGTTAATCTTTTAATCGAGGGGTTTCTTTTAGAAGGAGTTAAGTGCTGCGAGGTGGTGGTTTTGTGGTGGGAGGTGGAATGTACTAACGGGAGGAGGTGGTTTTGTGGTGGGAGGTGGTGGTTTTGTGGTGGGAGGTGGAATGTACTAACGGGAGGAGGTGGTTTTGTGGTGGGAGGTGGTGATTTTTGGTGGGAGGTAGAATATATTGACGGGAAGAGGTGGTTTTGTGGTGCGAGGTGGTGGTTTTGTGAGGGGAGGTGGAATGTACTGACGGGAGGAGGCGGGTTAGTGCTGGGAGGAGCGCTGTAAAGAGTACCGAATTTTGTAACCTTTTGATGAAAGGCTGACAGATATACAGATTACAAATGCAACTTGAACCCACTAAAACAAGCAAAAAATGACTTACCTAACTTTAACCCAATAAAACAAGCAACAAATTACAAACCTAACTTTAACCCAATAAAACAAGCAAAAAATGACAAACCTAACTTTAACTCAATAAAACAAGCAGAAAAGGACAAACCTAACTTTAACTCAATAAAACAAGCAGAAAATGACAAACCTAACTTTAACCCAATAAAACAAGCAAAAAATGACAAACCTAACTTTAACCCAATAAAACAAGCAAAAAATGACAAACGTAACTATAACCCAATAAAACCAGCAAAAAATTACAAACGCAAAGTTAACCTAATAAAACCAGCAAAAAACACTTACTTTCTCATCTTGCCGTCTGACAGGACAATGTAGACGACCATGAGATTCCCGGCTATCCCGACACTCCCCACGACAAAAAACAAGCTGGAGAACACGACGATGTACGCCGTCGTCACGGCCGCGTCACCCTGTGACGTCAGAGGCAGTGACGACTGTGACGGTGACGTGGACACGGCCGTGGACCACGACGACATCCACATGGAGACGTTCCTATCTGCGGTGTGAGATCCGCTGAAATCTGAACCGTTGGAGAGATTTCCGTTGGCGGATTCAGCGGCGGAGACGTCGTAGGTGACCACCAAAGAGGCGTTGGTCCGTGTGCGGACGTTGGTCTGGTCCATATGGTAGTACTCACTCTGGTCTTTCACCAGACGGCTGTAAATGTCGCTCTCTCCCCGGGGGTGGTGTCCAGGTTTGTAAACCCCCGGGGGTATTTGTGGGACGTTTAGAAACGGTAAAATAGTTCCTAGCGGTGGTGACGTCATGATCCCCGCCATGTTTAAATTCGATCTTTTATCATGTAGCTTGTTTTTATTTTTATTTTAACTTTTTTTTTTAAGTATTGAAAAAAACAACAAGCAGCTTTATTTAGTATGTAGGTACCTCGTTATGTAACACGGTAAATAGAGGCCATGATATACAAAGGATCATTACCGTTTTGAAAATGAACGCTCGGAACAAACGCTACGAATCAATACATTCTCCAATACGTATTTAGAAAAATATCCATCCGTTTGGTTCTATCAGAATATGAAGGGAATATCGACGTTCTTAAGTCTTGTGATAAAACCTCGTTGATGGAATATTTTCACTGATAGAGTGAGGTGGTCTCACTAATTAGACAGATTCACTGATGACGTAGTTTCACTGATGACATAGTCTCACTGATGACGTAGTCTCGCCGATGACGTAGTCTCATTAATTAGACAGATTCACCGATGAAGTTGTCCCACTTATGACGTATCTCATTAATTAGACAGATTTACTGATGAAGTGTCTCACTGAGCACTCAATCTCACCAATTAGACAGATTTACCGGTGGAAGAGTCTCACTAATGGAGTGGCTTCCCTTTATCAAAAGAAAATCTCACCGATGTAATATCCCATCTATTGTATGTCTCACCATTTTAAACGAAGGTTATCGTATGCCCTTGATAACCCTGTAGAATAAAACAAAAAGACGACATATTAGCAGCCATGTTGCACATAGATTCTAGTTTAGCTCTGTACACTCAGATATTTGTTTTATTTCTAATTCACAACACATTGGTCAGAAGGAAACATTAGTTTTTCTCTGACCAGAAATGTACCAAATGCCAGAAACACCAATCGTCACAAGGCAGACGACACCGTTAAATATTCCAGTCAACAATATAATTGTAAAAAAAAAAAAAAACATACCGGAAGGAATAAAATTCACGAACTTGGAAATTCCTCCAAACTTTATCACTGTTCAATAACTGGCCAGAACAATCTGGAACAAATCACAGACTTCCTACGTTATCGATAAATAAAGACTTACAAGTTAGCGATGCCGTTTAAAAAAAAAAATCGTTACAAGGTTTCACGTTCTCGAAGTTTTTACTGATTAAAAAATCTTTAAAAAAAAGGAAACGATTAAAATAAGAACCAGTGTAATTTGAATGTAGTTGGGTTTGTTTATTTCAAATAATTAATGAATTTCTTCAAATTACAGGTTTATAGCGCCGGTGATTATTATATGTCAAATGTTTTAAACATAGTTGATTTCAGCAGACGGTTGTTGAATTCAAGGCTGTCGTCTTGTTACGTGTAAAAAATTTACTGCACAGAACGCTTATCATAACGAGCATCAGGATACATGATATGTAACAAAGGTGTCGCTCAATAATTGACGTCAGCGGGGGCGGGAGGGGGGGGGGGGGGTATGTGTATATACGACGCTACACTCCGAAGCAGTGCCGGCGCCAGGTTATTTAGCGCCCTAGGCAAAACTTATTAAAACGCCCCTTTTCACACAAATTAATTTCTAAAACATATGTATAAGAAAACAATTAATTAAAAGTGACATATTAATTAATTATCAATTGCATACACGTTATAAGAAGACATTAAAATCAAATTTTACTAGTCTCTTTTGTCTCAAAAGTTTGTACTAATTCATTCAATTCAAGTTTGCAAGCGTTATCACATTTTTGTTATATAAATCCTTTAGGAGAAGGTGAAAAATATGAAAAGACAATTAATTAGATGTTTAATTTTACGGCTAACTGTATGTCTACTAACATTAAGTATTGCAATCTTCAACGGCTACTGATGTATTGGTTTTTCCACTTGATAATGCTAAAAAAAAAACTACCAAACTATTTTGTTTAGAACTTCTGCTCTATATAATTGTCACAATAGCAAATAATAACTTAAAGTTGTATTTATAAGTAAGCGGTCAACCTAAGGTGCAGGAAATTAATTTAATGTAAAGTTAAGCAACGAATTACCTCCCATTTGGAAATACATAGACCAAAATTTCATTCAAGGGAAATAGCTTTCTCAAGAATAGCTAAATTAACCAAGTGTAACTAAGACATGCTTGAAAAACACAATTAAAAGCTCTAAATTTCTTAAGTAATAATTTTAACAAATGTATTGTTTTAGCTATGTAATCTTGTAAAAGCAATATATTTTACCTATTGAATACTTAACTGTAGGCTTTGTTTGAAAGTAAAAAATATGGTAACTTTAATATAACATACTTCTATTCAATTTTGATGACACATTTTATTGAATTACGGAAATTTTAATGCATATCAAATTTTGGATCCCCTAAATAAAGGGACGTCTTTCCAAAGATCAAGCACGGGTAACTGTTTTAGACATTGCTATAAAAATATTATAATTTGAAAAAACAAAGTTTACAGTAAATTATTAAATTCCATCCTATTTAATATTATGTATTATGGTAATATAGATTCCTAAAAAAATTTGCATTTTTCAACTAGAGAACGCCTACCTTTCCTTGTAGTGTGTTCCGTACTGAATTATCCTCAACTTACTTACGATAAACTCGACTACTTGATATACTCTACTACATTTACAACACATATCAAACATCGATACCGAAACATAACTAGACTCGATGCTCCAGAACTACGACACCAACTCGTTTACTTCACCAAAATCTACATACGATACTCCCAATCAACAACGATTTCCACTGGACCTACTAATACACTTTAACAGTAAATATAATTCGATACCTTAATACCACAAGAATCAATCATCCCGAACTCCAGAACTACGATACTTCATCGCCTGCATTCTCATTTCTCTATTACCAATCAGATTCCACTAGATCTTAAACTACAAAACAGCCAAAGAAAAATTATGACACTTTTACACTTCGATACTTTATACCTACGAAACCATATCAGCAACAGCCTTCCGCCGTTACTCCCAAATCTAAACGATTCATCAAAATTTACCAAACAAGTACAATACTTTGAACACCCCGTCAATACAAAACATTATACACCAGGCGTATATAGACTTAATTTGGGGGGGGGGGGGGTGCCAAATTGATAGTTCGTCCTGGGTGCCGAAATAAATAGCTACTCTTTTCTAAAGGTTATTAATTATCAGGTACTTTTTGATAATAGCGATTAAACCTTTTGCGCCCCCCCCTAGAGATGGCGCCCTAAGCGACCGCCTAGTTCGCCATATAGGTAGCGCCGGCCATGACTCCTAGGGGACTGAGGAGGGGGGGGGGGGTTCTGACGTGTGTTGTATGTTGATGAGGGGAAGGGGGAAGGTGTTTAAAAAATGTGACGATATCCATTTACGCTTTTAGAACAGTTTATTTTGTACATTGCAACATAGATTGGATCAATATAGGTTCAACTTAATGTTGACCGAACTCATCAAATATTTTAGAGGGGAGTCCCTGTTTTATAAAAACAAAAACTACAATATAGAAGGGGTTGGTAGGCCAAGAAGTGACGTCGTTTCTGGGGAGGGGTCTGTTTTTTTTTGACAATAGGGAGGATGAGAGATAAAATGGTTTAAATTATGGATGACCGCCCCCCCCCCCTAGACAATGATACACCTAGACCAGGGGTCGGCAACCTTTTGAAGCGGAAGAGCCAAAAGTTACAATTTTCAAAATTTCCCTGGTTTCAAAGAGCCACTAACATTTTTTTTATTTCAAATATTTTATTTTTTTATTAAGATTATTAGTATTTGTTCAAGGAGCTGGAGAGCCGCATCTTGATATCAAAAGAGCCGCATGCCGCTCGCGAGCCGCAGGTTGCCGACCCCTGACCTAGACCCCTCTCTCTCCCCCCCCCCCCCAAAAAAAAAAAAAACAACGTTAAAAACTCTTCAACTACCATCAGTTAATGTTTCATTATTTCCAGAGGTTATATCTTGCGGGTGAAATAAAACATGACATCGTGATATCAAAAGTAACATAAAACGTGACATCGAACGTGACATCAGACGTGACAGCAAAATCAACATCAAACATGACCTCACATGTAATATGAAACGTAAGATCGTAACACCAAACTTAACATCAGACGTGACATTAAACGTGACATCAAAAGTGACATGAAACGTGACACGCAACGTGATATGAAACTGTCACCATAACAGCAAACGTGAACTCCCCTGCCCCAGTATCACGCAGCTCTTTGTCAAAAGATCACGTAATTGGCGTGACGTCATTTATTAGAAACCCTCATACATGATTATCAACTATAATGACATCGTACAAGATGTTGTCTAAGTGTGATTACCTTATGTATGTACTAACCATATGTAATTACATCATGTAAGATGAGAGACCACATGTCAGGCGCTGACCACATGTGATTACCTCATGTAAGCTGCTGACTATCTGTGATTACATCAGTGAAGATGTTGACAGAACCGGTGCACAGCGCATCTACCCACCACCAACAAGATTTGTCTACCCTTACTGCGAGCTAATTAAATTTGCTTCACATCTAAGCGGGCACCGTACTCCGGTGTACTCTTTCCCCCAATCCCCAGTTTAAAATATCTGTTTACATACCTGCACCTGGCTAGCTATTGCTTTCGTTATGAACACCACCATAAACACACACACCGGGAGGTTAGCTAAACGTATTTGTCGACGAAAACCGAGCAGAATATTCTGGAATTTATTTTACATTTCTCAGCCGTATAAACTTAAGTGCGTGCTGTGTATTGAAATTTGATTTCCTGTCGAACGATCCTGCAATGCGCGCTAGTATTGATTAATAAGAAGACACGATTCTTATTAGGTTTATATAACCCAACTACTACATAACCTAACCCAGGTATTATGTTACCCCCCCCCCCCCCCCCCCCACAGACCCGTCACGCATGGGGAAGCAGGCATAGCAGGCTAGTCACGTGACAGGATATACAGGCGCGTGGATAACTGACGTAACACTAATGGCAGCTAGACATGATCAGATGCAACAATTGTCGTGGTCTGGATCGTGAACAGTGTTCACTGCTGTAACAAAACCTTCACACAGTTCACACAAAAAAAAATTGAATTTATTAACTTCTTTTTTAAGCTTTCACGTCAGATACGTACAGCGGGGACCTAGCGGCTCTGTGCTAGACTGCTAATTATTAAAGGATATAAGAAATTTCTGATCTACATTTGTTTCGTTTTTTATAGAAAAATTGATGTAATTTATATTTAAATAGCAAATTTATCTTCAAATAAAAAAGTCGTTAATGCTCTTTAAAAAAAAAAAAGAAACAAGCAATTAAAGAAGGAAATCGAAGTTTGAACAGAGACAAACCAAGCAATTTTTACGGCCATCAGATAGGGCATAAAAAGCCTGAATATGTTTTCCTGTAAGAATGATCGCCCATATATCAGCTATAAAACTTGGCACATTTCCTGGTGGCGTTTTTGTTCTGTTCAAAATGTACCAGCTATAAAACTTGGCATATATCCTGATGGCATTTTTTTTGTTCAAATTTCTCGGAGATTTGAAAGAAAAAAAAAGAATAGATCGAAGATATGGATGATGTCATGAGGTACAAACCGATTGGCTGAATGAGAGGGTTGAAGTGTTAGGTAGGCAGTGTTATCGTTCAGATGTTATACAGGTACGCACCATCTAGATGTTATACAGGTATAGTGCTACCATCCATATGTTAC